ACAGGAAAATATGCCAAAAGCAGCAATAATTTTAAGTTAACCTACCTAATAGTAAAACATGCCAATAGCTACTGTTATTTACACAGCAGCCAAGTTCTAAAAGCAGCAAATAGGTAAACCTCAATATACAGATCCTTTCCAAGTCTCTGCTTGCATCATATTTTGACTGCCACACTGCCAAAGGAAGACACATGTCCAAGCCCAGAACCACTGCCATTGGGCTTGGCCAAGGGCAGGAGTGAGAAAATAGGGGTGATTAGTGCAATCAGTCCACCATAGTGAATTACTCAATAAATGGCTAGGGACATTAAACTACTTGGGGAAAGCAGGAAAATAAGTACAGAAATAGTCAGATTTTAGTAACAAAGTTAACAATGTGGACAAAATACTGCACTATACATGATAATGCAATGACTCATAATATACAAGAAGATCTTAGAAATAAATAAGAAAAAATATTAATTCTGGTAAAAAATGCAAAGAGAAGAAATACAAATGGACATTAAACAAAATATGTGTGATATCAATGATAAACAAACAACTATAAAAGAAAAAAAAACAAGGTATCAACTTTTGCCAATTATTTTGACAAAATTATTTGTCTATGCAACAGCTACTTGACTAATGCCAAGTGCTAAAGAGTATGTGGGAATAGAAAACCTCACAAAATGCTGGTTAGAATATAAATTGATATAAAATTTCTGGCAGGCAAATTAGCATTATCATCAAAAATACTTATTTACATATCTTTCAATCCATTGATTCAATTTCTGGGAGTTTATCCAAAGGAGAAATGTGGAAGAAGTAGATGAAATATATGTATAAAATATAATACTATGGCCACCCTACTTTTTAAAAGAAAAAATTAGAAACAACCTATTCATCAATAGGATTTAATAATGATGTATACATTTAATGAAGTACAATGCAGCACCTGAATGCATAAAATAAATCATTAAGTATTTCTATAGAAAGTTATCCATAAAGATGATTTACAAGTAAATGTTTTATCATTTGCATAAAAAATTGAAAGAATATCTACCAAATTGCAGGGGGTTTTTTCACTTTCTTGATTCTGTTCATAATTTTTAATAGTAGTAAGATATCAAGAAAAAGTTTTGGCATTCAAAAAACTATTTTGAAATTAATATTATTATGCTTAAAAAAATAACCTCAGGCAGTTCTTTGACAACAAATGTTTTTATGCCACAACATTCTGGTGACAGTAAACACTGAAATTAAAAGTTTGTGAACTGTGAAGATAGAACACACAATCATAAGCTAAAGCAAAACACTGTTACTGGTGGAGAAGATGAACTTTCAAAGGTCTCAAATAAGAGAGGTCATGAAAAGAAAAGAAATTTAAAGCAGAGTATAAGCTGAAATCCTGTGAGAGAACTTTGATTACCAGAGCCTGAAGTGAAATGAAGGTGGTGAAGATTAAGAGAGTAATAAGGGGACTTTTGGAATTCAATCTCTCAGTGAAGTCTATATTCAGTAAATCACTATGGCATTTTTGAGCCTCAAATTCCCACCCATTTCTATGTAATATAAGCAATTAAGAGCTATATCTGTGAGCTAAACAAAAATTTATGGTACCAACTAATTACTTAAAACCAGTCTGGACTTCCATTAATGTCAGTGCTGATTTGAATACTTGTGCAGTATATCTTCTCTTCAGGAAGAGAGCATGTGCCAAGTCACAGGAAGGTGAAGGTTTTCAGCAGAGGCCAAAAACCACATTTTTCTAATTGCTTAGGCACCGGTCCACATTGACCAGATTGTTAATTCATAAATTTGGAAATAATTGCCATGAAGAAATAATGACCTCATAAGTCAAGTTGACAAAGGGCCAAACCAGTGACATTTATTAAATATGAAAAAAGATTTATAGACAAAGGTGTGCTGCTTGGCAAACAGAATGAACTGACAGCCACCCGCATGGCTATTTCATCACAAGGATTCGTTTGAGTTCCCTGAACTTCTATTTTATCTTTGTTCATGTAAGGGCATTGCTCATTGAGGAGTGCTGTCTCGCCTTTAAGGCTTTCACAGAGGAAATGTGTTATGGAAAAAGCACAGGTTTTGGAATATGAGCCTGCACCCCAAGATCCTGTTCTGGAAAATGGACAAAATGTCATTCATTTCCTAGAATGGTATAAGGATTAAATGGACATTATGTATTATAGATAGAGTTGAAGTTAGAAATATCTAGTGCCTGTTTTTCTTTCCTTTCCCTTTCTGTGGTTATTCTCACTTCCTTTTATGACTTCCTGGGTCTTCTCTAACCATTCCCACCTTGCCCAACCTTCAAAGTCATGCTCAAAACTCACCTCCTGAATGGTTACTTTTCCTTCTCATTTAATGTCCATGCTTGACAGATGGAGAGAAATCTTTTGGTTCACTTAACAATTATGTAATGAAATTCTACTGTTACAGGCATGGTCTTATCTCTAAAACAAGATTAGAAGTTCCTTGTGTTCTGGAGTTTTATCTTAAACTTCTTTGCTTCCCCCACAGCACCAAAATGATGCCTACATATAATAACATTTAATAATTAATTGTGGGTTTGCATTGCTTGATTGCTGATATATATTATGCAAGGCATCCAAAATTCAGGGGGTAAATATTTTAAAGGTGAACTGGTACATCAATAATGCCAAGGTTAGTCCCAGGAAGCAAAGCTACATATATATTTTATGAAAGAAGGAAGTAGCTAGTTTTCAATCTATGCTCATAAAATGAAATCCACATCATAATCTTCAAATGCGGTCTTTTTTGCCCAATGTAATTAAATGTTTCTCATAAAATCTCCTATGTGCTTCTGAGCTATGAACTCCAGTTCCATAAAGGCTATACAACAGCTACAGTAATTCTTCTTTCAGGTGAAGTGTTAGATTAATAGGTTTTGTGGTTTTGGGGTGTTTTTATTTTGTATACTTGAAGAAAACAATATATCTGATTTTGAATATATATTGTAAACTTTGTCTTAAAAATAAATGGTTGATCTAGGACAATGGATTTTGTAAGAGCTATTTTCAGAAATTATATACTCTGCAAATTGTATTAACCAGAAAGCTTTATGTTTTCCATTAACCTGATGAAAATGTCAAGAAGAGCAATCTAGGCATTGTACTAACATTTTAATCATCACTATATAACAGCTGTATCTGTTTCATCTCTGGCAATAGACAATGAATAGTAATGAAATTAAAGTTAATCTTAATTACCTAGATATTTAATTTTCAATTTCACATTTTCTATTCATGCCATGAATGACTAAAAGTGGATACCACCAAAGACTGCTCCAGAACTATTCATGTTGATTAATCCTTAGCTAACAGGATATAGAAGAATAAACATCTAGCCATACCAAAAAAGGCAAAAAAATTGACTTTTTCATAAGTGATGAGAATGATTTCAGAAGCAAGACATGGGTCAATGGACAATGGCAAATCCCTTTGGGCAGATGAAGAGTAGAGAAGAAATTGGAGTGAAGAATAAATTGCAAAAGTAGTAAAGTGATTCAAACCCTGTGGCTTATTCATCATTTTAAAAGGAAGAGTGTGCAGAGCAGTTAAGTAGTAAGAAATGAGAATAGCTCCACTGGGATGAGCACAATTGTTACATGGGGGAGTAACTCTCCATTTGGGGGAGTGGCAAAAATTCAGACAATGGAGTTGGGAAATATTTGGTAATCAAGAAGGAATGTTTAAAAACACAAGTACAAACACAATGGGGGGTTTGTTGAAATAACCTAGACTGGGCATCCAAAGAAGTAGGTCCAAGACCAAGCTCAGGTCAAGGTCTTGGTTATCAGTTTTGATAAGTACTCTGAGGATTATTTCTTCTTCTGTGAAACAAAGGAAATAGTATCTGCAGCAATGAATTGAGAGAAGTAAATGGGATCTTGGGAAAGTCTTTATAAACTCTAAATGTCTATATGATACGCAGTATTGTTTTGGGTTTGTAACCTGAAAGGTTCCTATTTGATTCTTCTGTCCCCTTCTTTTCTCTTCCAAAGAAAGGTCAGGGTTGTGGGCAAGGGCATCTTTTGGCTCTTGGTGCTAAGAGGTGGAGCTTTCTCTAGGAGACCAAGAAGACCAAGGCTGGATTAACAAAGTACAATGAAGTAATTACCTCCATTGATCTGACATAATTCTGGTTACACATCTTAAAGTTTCATTAACTTTTTAAACAGCCCAATTAGCCTGACAACTTATTGAACTTACATCCATATAAAATTGTAAAGACTCCTTTTTCTAAAAATCACTGATACTAGTTCTATACTTGTGCTACTGATATTTAAAACCAATGTGCAACATTTTTGTTTCCATTAAATTGCATACCTTTGGGGTTCAGTGAGCTGAGATCTGACATCTTAAGTTTTAACCTACACTTTCAGGTTTGCATCATCCAGGAGAGGCACCATTTTCCCTGGAGAAACTTTGAAACCAAATAGATTAAATGAGTAAACTAAATGTGATAAACATTCCATTCTGGAGAGCCTTTTTGGAGATTATGATACGTATTACCCTACTGAAGGCTCTGAGAGTCTACAGTAAATGAATCTTGTTAACTGTGTTTAACCTGTTCTTCCCAATTTTGGTAATAATAGACAATGGGGTATTATGTTGCCATTAAAAAGAACCAGGTAAACCTATTTTAACTGACATATGGCATATATTACTAAGTGAAAAAGAGCAAGTCCAAAATGGTAAACATAGTCTAATTGCATTCTAAATGAATGAAAAACAAATAAAGAATGTATGTATGCATATGGCATAAAGACCTAAGCAAGTATACAGAAAGACCTGGGATGACAAATGCCTTACTCCTTTCAATGGTTACATCTAGAAATATGTATAAAATCTAATGAAATGGTGATGAAATAGACTTTCATATTTACTCTATCTGTTGTATTATTGTATGAATTCTTTATAATGAGAATGTATAAAAAATCATTTAATAAGCAATTTTTTTAATTATATAGGATAGCATGGCAAACAGTCTCATTATTCTGATTTTGTGATAATCAGAGCAGGCTAAACATTTGCTACATTAAGACCATGCATGTGTCCCCAGGCCTAGTTCTTACTCTAGGTCTGGTTTTACAGATGCTGGTAATAAACCAAGATTGATTTATATGATACCTTTTGTGCAGACAATGTCTGTGACTCTAGGTATCTTTAATTAACCTCAAGAAATGACAGCATAGCTAGTCGAATAACTTGCTAATTTGATGATCGCCACTTCACATTAAACAAATTACCAAATTACTGTTTTATATGCTAGAAAAAAATAAAAAATGAAATTACATAGGATTATAGAGTGAAATGAGCCAATATTTTATTCAGTGGTTACATATAATTACAATTTTATATAGTAACCAAATAGAATCATAGTGACCAAATAAATATAAATCTATCTTTCCTAAAAAAATGAAAACCAAAAATTGTGCTTCCTTCCCAGATTCTGAAAGTCAATAAATAAGGTTTTATGAGACAAGTCAAACAGATTTTAAACATTTGGTGAAAAATATCTTCCACACAGTTTAACTAGATAAAAATACATGTTCTATGTTGCTTAATTCCTACAACCTGACTTGATTGAGGTTACTGATTGACATGACATTAAAATACAGACCAAACCTCAAAAAAGAAAAACTTAAAGACTAACATAAGAAAGCATTGTGGAGCAGTACAAAGACCCAACTTTGGTGTTAGAGAATTCTGGGCTCAAATTTGAGTTCCGTCACTTTCTTTTTAGGTCTCAGTTTCCTCATCTGGAAAGTTCCTCATGAGGAAGACTAAAAAGTGAAGATGACTAAAAAACATAGAGCAAAACATCTGGCTCAAAACTTTACATTTAACATTTTCCCCTTACAACTTCTTGTATTGCTTTTGGGAACAGACTAGAAGTCTGAGGAAAATTAGAGTTCTGTTGGAAGTGAAACCCAGAGATGGACTGGAGCTCAAGAAAAGCCTTTTTCCATTTCCTTCTATTCAAGTATTAATACAACAACTACCGAGCCTTGAGTGGAAGAGGGGCTGACAGAGGAGGGACTCACCCCTGTGCAATGTGGTCCTAAGGACAACCAGTTGGATTCTTACAAAGGCAACAGAGCTTTGGCCCCAGAAAAGCAAATCCCACCTCAAGGGAAATTAGAGTCAAAGAGTTTAGGCGCAAAGCAGTTACACACAGTTGTGTTTATGAGAACACATGTCTTTTTTTTTTTAAACAATATTTGCTTCCCCCACCCCCTCAGGTTGAGTCCCCATACAATTTCCTTCCTCAAGGTACCCGTGCACCATCACCACAATCCCCTGTTCTTCTCCCTCCCTCCCTCTGTCCCCTCTCCCGCCTCCTCCCCTGCAGGATGTCTCTGGTTTTTAATTGTCCATTTTTGCTTTGTTGTGTTTTGTACTGTTATTTTTTTTACACTGATGTCTTATTGGGTTTCCCTATATTCCTGTTATAAGTGAAACCATCCGATATTTTTCTTTTTCCTTCTGGCTTATTTCACTGAGCATAATTCCTTCTAGCTCCATCCATGTGGCTGTGAATGGTATGAGTTTATCTTTTTTGATTGCTGAATAATATTCCATTGTGTATATGTGCCACATCTTCTTGATCCAGTCATCTGTTTTCGGGCATTTGGGTTGTTTCCAGGTTTTACCGATTGCAAATAGTGCTGCAATAAACATAGGGGTACAGGTGAGAGAACACGTGTCTTAAAGCATTCTTACTAAACAGGTAATATCGTTCATGGGCTTTTATGATCATAGCGAGATAAGTCACTAAATTTAGTGTGAGAAAGACTCTAAGAGAAAAAAGGAGCTGTGGTTTATAAATGACTTAAAGCATAGGGACAATAAAAAGTAGTGCAAAGGGGTCAGGGGCTTGTGTCTTAAAGAAGTGCAAGTCAAAAATCATGAGAAAAAAAAGATTTTAGGAAAGCAAATCGATTTTTTTAAGTGTCAAATTTTCAGTTCAATAGATTCACCTCATTTAATGTCAATTTAAAAGCATAATGTCTTAAGATGGACAGACTTGACCTTCTTGGGATTTTATGAGCCTCTTGAATCTTACCTAAATTCCTTAAAATTGTAACCCAGTGGGAATAAAGGAGAGTATCACTTTGAGAGCTTCAGTAAATTGCACATCATTTCTCCTCACTAGCACAATGGACTTGGGAAATTCGTTTCTGTGCTGTGGAGGCGGCACTATGTTGCCAGGGAGACAAAGTGGTACCGGGAAGACCCCTCAGCGCCAGCCCCCGCAAACGCCTCCTGCCAGGAGGAGCTGCAGGGCCAGCGCAGCAATTCGAGGGAGGCCATCTGCGCATAGATTCCTTGGGTTGAAGATTTTTCGCAGAAAATTTTTAAGCTGTCCAGTCCCTCCTATTTTCACATAAACACTGACATCTACAGTCAATGCAGCTGAGGGTAAATATTTTGCCCCAAGCTTCTCTCCACCACTTCCTTCCACTGTTGTTTGGAAATTTGGAAAGTCTATTTCCGACATCCTCTCAGAGGCAGTCTATACTTCTGATCTTCCTTGCCTTTTCATTTACTAGTTCTACCCTGTCTCAATACTTCCTCTAATTACTTGGTACTCAGTGTTTACTCAGGCAGAGACCTGGTCAGAATGCCAGGGTCCAGGTGGGTACAGCAGACTCATCCTGAAGTTCAGTTAGGAGAACCATTTGGCTTCCTATTATCCATGTCTCCAACCTGAACTCTGTTGATAACAATGAGGATATTTTTAGCTTTTACACATTTTTAAAAGTGTAACAAAATACTAAAAGATTGGGTACCACTGATTGGAAGCCCCCTCTGAAACCCTACATTAAAAAAAAAATTGCCAATTATAGATCCTTATAGAAAAAAAATTAATAGAGGCAGGAAATTGAACCAAGAAGGAAAAAAATATCAACTGAAGGAAACTCGAGCAAAGTAGTTGGCAAGTATAAGGTAAATGTAGGTATTTTCTTTAGAAAAAAAATTGAAGGGAGAGTTAAAAATAAAGTAGGCCTAAAACATTGAATCAGTAACATTGAAAATGTGATAGGGAAAGAAACATTAAAACTGTAAGTTATCCAAAAAGGTAGGGAGATCACTTTGGACTTTGTTAAGTCAATTATACTTGTTAATATGTTAGGGTCTCCCCTGTGGTGCAGCGGGTTGAATGCAGTGCTGTGAAGCTGTCTGCAGCCTCTGCAGCACCGGTTCCATTCCTGGCTGGCCAGGGAGATTCCCACATGGCACAGCAGACCTCTCCTGTCGCACCCACTGCTCCCCTCAGCAGTGTATTTCATCAATCTACCTGTTCTGTTCCCCGCTCTGTCTCCGGTGAATCCTCTCACCCCCCACACCTCTGGCCTGTACCCCAGCTCTTATATAAAAATAAATAAATTTATAAAAAATGTTAAAGGTTACCATAAGAATAAAAATACATAATGTATAATTTCAAAACTTTAACAGGAAAAAGAAGAAATAAGGAAAAGTGAGGTAAGGAGAAATAAGTAACAACCCCCAAAAAGGAACAGTACAATGAAAACACACAGTAGGTAGTATAAATAAAACCACATATATCAGTGATGATAATACCTACAAATGGATACCTTCCACAGTTCAAATCAGAAATTTTTATATTAGATTTATTTTAATCAGCTCTATGCTAAAGGAGACACACTGAAAATACATGAATATAGAATCATAGAAAATAAATTGATGGAAAAAGTGCACTATGACTTTCCCCAAGAAAACTCCAAAGGCTAAAGATTGTGGATGACACTGGTGCCCAGGACAGGCAGAGAATGAGCGCTGGGACAGGAATTGGTCTTGGACACCAAGCTGGGCCATCTGATCAAGGACATGATGATCAAGTTCCTAAAGGAATTCTCTCGTTTCCTTCCTTAACTTCTTCCTGGGGCCATTTCTTGAAGATAAAAGACTGAAGATGATGCTTTTTCAGAGACATAAAAGGGATGGCCAACAAACCAGTTACAAGGTACCCTTGGCTGTTAGGAACAATAATGATTCATTGACCTAGATTCAAATGCTACAAGGAAGTAGCAAGCACCAATTCTGGTGTCATCATCTGGATAAGGCATCCATTATCTCTGAGTCAAGACTACTGGGAAAACAAATCAGCAAACCCACCTCTCCCCTTGCAATATAACTGGGTACTAAGTGCCAACCACAAAGAAATGGATAAAAAAATATGTGGTATGTATATGCAATGGAATACTACTCATCCATTAAAAAAGATGAAATTTTGCCATCTTTCAACAACATGAATGAACCTCAAAGAGAATATGCTCGGTGAAATAGGCCAGAAGGAGAAAGACAAATACCGCATGATTTTACTCATTTTTGGAATATAAAGAAAACAAAAACAAACCTTTAAACTCTGACAACAGAATGGCAGTACAGGTGTCAAATGGGGGAGAGAAAGGACAAAAGGGTCTATTGATTGGTGGTAGATGGTAAATGGACATTTGGTGACAGATGTGGTAAGACAGTGTAATATTAGACCCTATACAGCATTATAAACTGGCGTTACCTCACTAAAAAGAAAACGAAATAAATTTTTAAAAAACAACTGGGTGCTATGACTCTGTGCTTATATATCTGACCTCTTCCGCCATGTGGCAACTTCTATCTCCTGCTTTACAGGCTTTTGCTGACCAATGGTATTTTGCCACCCTGGGTAACTTGGCTAAAGGAGCATTTATTGCCATCTCTGAGGCACAGACTTCTCATTCTAACCTCTGGGATCAGACAGCAGGAACTCCCTGACCATCTAAAAGATGCATACTCAGTGTCACTGCAGAAAACTCAGGGCTCTGTTGTGGCCACCACAGTATTGTTCATACCTGCAAAATAAAATAAATTACACCTAGGGGCGGGGGGATTGGGAGGGAGCTATATATCCCTGAAAGTACCAAACAGTATACATGTTTAGACAAAAAAGAAATAAGTAGGAATGCTTAATAGTGATATAAAGGAAAAGTTCACCAAACAAATATAACAGTCCTGAATCTGTGTACATCTAAGACATGGCTTCAAGCTTCCAATGCAAAAACTGACAGAAAAACAAAGAGAAATTAACATATCTACAATCTGGGAAATTTTATACACCCCTCTCAGCAACAGATAAAATAAGCAGTCAATAAAGTATATGATATATTAGAACAAAAGGAGAAACTCCCAAATAATTCCTTGTGAAGAAAAACTGTTTTCTCTCTGCCTTACAAAGCAGCTTCCTGAGAGATCACTGAACGACTGATTCCACAGGGACCAGCCAAATGAGGCCAGTTTCTGTTGCGGCTGAAAAAAAATCAGGACTAGAAACCCATTGGGGGTTTAAGAAACAAACAAAAAGGGACAGCCAAGAGCCTAGCTTGATGAAACCACAGCACTTCAGAACAGGGTCCTCCAGTGGGATACCCACAGGCCTCAGGGAGCTAAGTTTCCAGGCTCCCCACGGAGCAAACAGCTGCAGGTGAAGGCAGTGGGCGTCAGATTGGCCAGTCACCTCTGGCAGTTTAGTTAGAAAAGCCATCTTGGGGGATTTGGACAGTCAAGCCAGGTGCTTGTTGGTCATCTGGTGGAACAAATACTTCTGGGAAGAGGAGTCTGGAACTTCTGCAGATGGACTCGCCGTTCCTTTCCCATTTCCTTTCCCTAACCAAGCTTACAGGGAACAGCAGACTCTCTCAGGTAGAGATCTTCATTCTTAACACACCAAGGCCTCCCTCTTTCCTAGTTCACCCCAAGCAACCTTCCAGAATACCTGCCTTTACAGCCAGGAGGAGGCTGACTGTTTAGGGCAGTCTCTAAACAGATGTTGACATCATAACTCAGCTGGGTTAGTTTTGTTGTTAAGGATCCCAAGATGTGAAGAAAGTAAATAGGTTTTCAGATGGAAGGCAGGTAGAAACAAAGTTTGGAGGCCCTACTCCCACACACACAAGCTGTGTTTCTCCAAACTCAGGTTACAGGAAATGAGGGCAGAACAAGATTAGAAGTCTGGTTTAGCCAGGGAGCTGCACAACCAAGATTAGAACTCCAGGCTCCCTTAGCCACTTCCTCTGTGTCATCCCACTGCCTTATTTCCTGTTTTTCCACTCAAGCCCATCATTACATGAAATTTGAAAGCCAGTCACCAGGCTGAAGAATATAAAAGCTTCAGGTAATTAAGGACATTGTTTATAAAGAGCCAAGAGAATGCAATCTATACCTAAAACATTTCCCCCTAAGTGAAATAGATGATGTGAACTCCAGCCATTAGGATTAAGATCCTATTTCACTTTGCATTTAACCAATAATGTCATCAAAACTAAGCATGTTTTGAGTGAAACATACTGAAGTTTTTTTGGTTTGTTTTATGGCTTTAACTTTTCAACAAGGCTTGCTATTTGAGATGGCAGGTAATGAATCATTCAATCAATAAACCAATCCAGAACTTATATATTTTTGCTAGTCTTAAAATATCTACTTATGTATAATCTCAATAATATTCTATGGAAATAAGATACCTTTTATAAAAACTAAGGATTTAATTCTTCCTATAAAGGGTAAATTAAGGACATACTCCCTTATAGCAGATGGCCTGTTCTGTTATATATTCATTTGTTACATATTCATTTCTGCTATTTGTTCATTTTTCTGCTCTATGGTACAG